TCATCTGTGTTTAGTGTGTAATGTTGCTGTCTGATCATGAAGAAGCTCCAGTTCTTCTCTATATGAGTGTCAGTGTTCCTGAACTCCTGAAACGCCTCCATTGTATCTTGAGTTTCTTCCGAGAACGAACACGTCACAATATTCCTCATTATAATAATTCATACGCAGAATAAAGGGCGGGACATTTCCCAAACACACTCGAAGCGCTCGACCAATCACAACACACTGCTCCAGCCGACCAATCAAAGCACAGTGTGCTTTTCAGGAGGAGGGGCTTCATAGACACGGGAAGTAAACAGAGCGTTACTGACAGACTGGGAAGAGAGGAGCCGCAACAATGGAGAATATGAGGAAAATAATCAACATTCAAGCAGGAAAACCTGTTCTAGTAGATCCTGAATACAACATCAAGCATAATATGGCCTCTTTAAGATGAACTGTATTTATAAAGAGAGAGTGATGTTTGATAAATTATTCATACGTTCACATTTAGGATCATTATACACACATCTTTATACCTGAGGCTCTTACAAAGGTGAGGGTCCTGAAGGTCACAGACGCATTACATCTGTTTATCTGTTTCTCGGCATGTTGTTGTTGATCTGAGATAATGACTCTCTCAGTGGATCCCTGTGGAGCGCTGTAGATTTCCCATCAGTCCTGCTGTGATCCCAGTGTGATGTGTGTGTGTGTGTGTGTGTGTGTGTGTGTGTGTGTGTGTGTGATCCTGCTGTTGTTTCAGGTGTGAGGATCCCTGGTCCTCCAGGTCCTCCGGGTCCTCCGGGTCGAGCTGATCCCGCCGGAGCCGTGAGTAAACCCTCATATCTCTTCAATCAATCTGTCAATCATTTGCTTTAATTGCCAAAATCTGGTCACATGATCTCGCCGCATGAGCAACAGAGTGAGCTGTGCTTCATACATCGAGACACTGGGAGATTTCACTGATGTGACTGCAGCTTTCAGGGAATACTTCCCTGCAAAATGAAAATTCTGTCATCATGTACTCCGCCTCAAGTTGTTTCAAACCTGTATGAATGTCTTTCTTCTGTGGAACACAAAGGAAGATATTTTGAAGAATGTCGGTAACCAAACAGTTGATGGACTTCCATTGTATTTTTTTCCTACTATGTAAGTCAATGGAGCGCTGGGCCTGTTTGGTTATCGACATCCTTCAAAATATCTTCCTTTGTGTTCATCAGAACAAAGAAACTCATACAGGTTTGAAACAACTTGTGGCGGAGTAAATGATGACAGAATCTTCATTTTGCAGTGAAATATTCCTTTAAGGCCCTGAATATGTTAAATCCCTCGTCTTGTGTTCTGTCGTGAAAGATGTAGAGTATCTCCCCTCAGTAGTGTCGTGAGAGATGTAGAGTATCTCCCCTCAGTAGTGTCGTGAGAGATGTAGAGTATCTCCCCTCAGTAGTGTCGTGAGAGATGTAGAGTATCTCCCCTCAGTAGTGTCGTGAGAGATGTAGAGTATCTTCCCTCAGTAGTGTCGTGAGAGGCGTAGAGTATCTCCCCTCAGTAGTGTCGTGAGAGATGTAGAGTATCTCCCCTCAGTAGTGTCGTGAGAGGTGTAGAGTGTCTCCCCTCAGTAGTTTCGTGAGAGATGTAGAGTATCTCCCCTCAGTAGTGTCGTGAGAGTTGTAGAGTATCTCCCCTCAGTGGTGTCGTGAGAGGTGTATAGTGTCTCCCCTCAGTGGTGTCGTGAGAGATGTAGAGTATTTCCCCTCAGTAGTGTCGTGAGAGATGTAGAGTATCTCCCCTCAGTAGTGTCGTGAGAGATGTAGAGTATCTCCCCTCAGTAGTGTCGTGAGAGATGTAGAGTATCTCCCCTCAGTAGTGTCGTGAGAGATGTAGAGTATCTCCCCTCAGTAGTGTCGTGAGAGATGTAGAGTATCTCCCCTCAGTAGTGTCGTGAGAGATGTAGAGTATCTCCCCTCAGTAGTGTCGTGAGAGATGTAGAGTATCTCCCCTCAGTAGTGTCGTGAGAGATGTAGAGTATCTCCCCTCAGTAGTGTCGTGAGAGGTGTAGAGTGTCTCCCCTCAGTAGTGTCGTGAGAGAAGTAGAGTATCTCCCCTCAGTAGTGTCGTGAGAGGTGTAGAGTATCTCCCCTCAGTAGTGTCGTGAGAGATGTAGAGTATCTCCCCTCAGTAGTGTCGTGAGAGGTGTAGAGTGTCTCCCCTCAGTAGTGTCGTGAGAGGTGTAGAGTATCTCTCCTCAGTAGTGTCGTGAGAGGTGTAGAGTATCTCCCCTCAGTAGTGTCGTGAGAGATGTAGAGTATCTCCCCTCAGTAGTGTCGTGAGAGATGTAGAGTATCTCCCCTCAGTAGTGTCGTGAGAGGTGTAGAGTGTCTCCCCTCAGAAGTGTCGTGAGAGGTGTAGAGTATCTCCCCTCAGTAGTGTCGTGAGAGGTGTAGAGTGTCTCCCCTCAGAAGTGTCGTGAGAGATGTAGAGTATCTCCCCTCAGTAGTGTCGTGAGAGATGTAGAGTATCTCCCCTCAGTAGTGTCGTGAGAGGTGTAGAGTATCTCCCCTCAGTAGTGTCGTGAGAGATGTAGAGTATCTCCCCTCAGTAGTGTCGTGAGAGATGTAGAGTATCTCCCCTCAGTAGTGTCGTGAGAGATGTAGAGTATCTCCCCTCAGTAGTGTCGTGAGAGGTGTAGAGTGTCTCCCCTCAGTAGTGTCGTGAGAGGTGTAGAGTGTCTCCCCTCAGAAGTGTCGTGAGAGGTGTAGAGTGTCTCCCCTCAGTAGTGTCGTGAGAGGTGTAGAGTATTTCCCCTCAGTAGTGTCGTGAGAGATGTAGAGTATCTCCCCTCAGTAGTGTCGTGAGAGATGTAGAGTATCTTCCCTCAGTAGTGTCGTGAGAGGCGTAGAGTATCTCCCCTCAGTAGTGTCGTGAGAGATGTAGAGTATCTCCCCTCAGTAGTGTCGTGAGAGATGTAGAGTATCTTCCCTCAGTAGTGTCGTGAGAGGCGTAGAGTATCTCCCCTCAGTAGTGTCGTGAGAGATGTAGAGTATCTTCCCTCAGTAGTGTCGTGAGAGGCGTAGAGTATCTCCCCTCAGTAGTGTCGTGAGAGATGTAGAGTATCTCCCCTCAGTAGTGTCGTGAGAGGTGTAGAGTGTCTCCCCTCAGTAGTGTCGTGAGAGATGTAGAGTATCTCCCCTCAGTAGTGTCGTGAGAGGTGTAGAGTGTCTCCCCTCAGTGGTGTCGTGAGAGATGTAGAGTATCTCCCCTCAGTAGTGTCGTGAGAGTTGTAGAGTATCTCCCCTCAGTGGTGTCGTGAGAGATGTAGAGTATCTCCCCTCAGTAGTGTCGTGAGAGATGTAGAGTATCTCCCCTCAGTGGTGTCGTGAGAGATGTAGAGTATCTCCCCTCAGTAGTGTCGTGAGAGATGTAGAGTATCTTCCCTCAGTAGTGTCGTGAGAGATGTAGAGTGTCTCCCCTCAGTAGTGTCGTGAGAGATGTAGAGTATCTCCCCTCAGTAGTGTCGTGAGAGATGTAGAGTATCTCCCCTCAGTAGTGTCGTGAGAGATGTAGAGTATCTCCCCTCAGTAGTGTCGTGAGAGTTGTAGAGTATCTCCCCTCAGTGGTGTCGTGAGAGGTGTATAGTGTCTCCCCTCAGTGGTGTCGTGAGAGATGTAGAGTATTTCCCCTCAGTAGTGTCGTGAGAGATGTAGAGTATCTCCCCTCAGTAGTGTCGTGAGAGATGTAGAGTATCTCCCCTCAGTAGTGTCGTGAGAGATGTAGAGTATCTCCCCTCAGTAGTGTCGTGAGAGATGTAGAGTATCTCCCCTCAGTAGTGTCGTGAGAGATGTAGAGTATCTCCCCTCAGTAGTGTCGTGAGAGATGTAGAGTATCTCCCCTCAGTAGTGTCGTGAGAGATGTAGAGTATCTCCCCTCAGTAGTGTCGTGAGAGATGTAGAGTATCTCCCCTCAGTAGTGTCGTGAGAGAAGTAGAGTATCTCCCCTCAGTAGTGTCGTGAGAGGTGTAGAGTATCTCCCCTCAGTAGTGTCGTGAGAGATGTAGAGTATCTCCCCTCAGTAGTGTCGTGAGAGGTGTAGAGTGTCTCCCCTCAGTAGTGTCGTGAGAGGTGTAGAGTATCTCTCCTCAGTAGTGTCGTGAGAGGTGTAGAGTATCTCCCCTCAGTAGTGTCGTGAGAGATGTAGAGTATCTCCCCTCAGTAGTGTCGTGAGAGATGTAGAGTATCTCCCCTCAGTAGTGTCGTGAGAGGTGTAGAGTGTCTCCCCTCAGAAGTGTCGTGAGAGGTGTAGAGTATCTCCCCTCAGTAGTGTCGTGAGAGATGTAGAGTATCTCCCCTCAGTAGTGTCGTGAGAGATGTAGAGTATCTCCCCTCAGTAGTGTCGTGAGAGATGTAGAGTATCTCCCCTCAGTAGTGTCGTGAGAGGTGTAGAGTATCTCCCCTCAGTAGTGTCGTGAGAGATGTAGAGTATCTCCCCTCAGTAGTGTCGTGAGAGATGTAGAGTATCTCCCCTCAGTAGTGTCGTGAGAGATGTAGAGTATCTCCCCTCAGTAGTGTCGTGAGAGGTGTAGAGTGTCTCCCCTCAGTAGTGTCGTGAGAGGTGTAGAGTGTCTCCCCTCAGAAGTGTCGTGAGAGGTGTAGAGTGTCTCCCCTCAGTAGTGTCGTGAGAGGTGTAGAGTATTTCCCCTCAGTAGTGTCGTGAGAGGTGTAGAGTATCTCCCCTCAGTAGTGTCGTGAGAGATGTAGAGTATCTTCCCTCAGTAGTGTCGTGAGAGGCGTAGAGTATCTCCCCTCAGTAGTGTCGTGAGAGATGTAGAGTATCTTCCCTCAGTAGTGTTGTGAGAGATGTAGAGTATCTTCCCTCAGTAGTGTCGTGAGAGATGTAGAGTATCTCCCCTCAGTAGTGTCGTGAGAGGTGTAGAGTATCTCCCCTCAGTAGTGTCGTGAGAGATGTAGAGTATCTTCCCTCAGTAGTGTCGTGAGAGGTGTAGAGTGTCTCCCCTCAGTAGTGTCGTGAGAGATGTAGAGTATCTCCCCTCAGTAGTGTCGTGAGAGATGTAGAGTATCTCCCCTCAGTAGTGTCGTGAGAGATGTAGAGTATCTTCCCTCAGTAGTGTCGTGAGAGATGTAGAGTATCTTCCCTCAGTAGTGTCGTGAGAGATGTAGAGTATCTCCCCTCAGTAGTGTCGTGAGAGGTGTAGAGTATCTCCCCTCAGTAGTGTCGTGAGAGATGTAGAGTATCTTCCCTCAGTAGTGTCGTGAGAGATGTAGAGTATCTCCCCTCAGTAGTGTCGTGAGAGATGTAGAGTATCTTCCCTCAGTAGTGTCGTGAGAGGCGTAGAGTATCTCCCCTCAGTAGTGTCGTGAGAGATGTAGAGTATCTTCCCTCAGTACTGTCGTGAGAGGCGTAGAGTATCTCCCCTCAGTAGTGTCGTGAGAGATGTAGAGTATCTCCCCTCAGTAGTGTCGTGAGAGGTGTAGAGTGTCTCCCCTCAGTAGTGTCGTGAGAGGTGTAGAGTGTCTCCCCTCAGTAGTGTCGTGAGAGATGTAGAGTGTCTCCTCTCAGTAGTGTCGTGAGAGGTGTAGAGTGTCTCCCCTCAGTAGTGACGTGAGAGATGTAGAGTATCTCCCCTCAGTAGTGTCGTGAGAGATGTAGAGTATCTCCCCTCAGTAGTGTCGTGAGAGGTGTAGAGTATCTCCCCTCAGTAGTGACGTGAGAGATGTAGAGTATCTCCCCTCAGTAGTGTCGTGAGAGATGTAGAGTGTCTCCCCTCAGTAGTGTCGTGAGAGATGTAGAGTATCTCCCCTCAGTAGTGTCGTGAGAGGTGTAGAGTGTCTCCCCTCAGTAGTGTCGTGAGAGATGTAGAGTATCTCCCCTCAGTAGTGTCGTGAGAGGTGTAGAGTGTCTCCCCTCAGTAGTGTCGTGAGAGATGTAGAGTGTCTCCCCTCAGTAGTGTCGTGAGAGGTGTAGAGTGTCTCCCCTCAGTAGTGTCGTGAGAGGTGTAGAGTGTCTCCCCTCAGTAGTGTCGTGAGAGGTGTAGAGTGTCTCCCCTCAGTAGTGTCGTGAGAGGTGTAGAGTGTCTCCCCTCAGTAGTGTCGTGAGAGATGTAGAGTGTCTCCCCTCAGTAGTGTCGTGAGAGATGTAGAGTGTCTCCCCTCAGTAGTGTCGTGAGAGGTGTAGAGTATCTCCCCTCAGTAGTGACGTGAGAGATGTAGAGTATCTCCCCTCAGTAGTGTCGTGAGAGATGTAGAGTATCTCCCCTCAGTAGTGTCGTGAGAGGTGTAGAGTATCTCCCCTCAGTAGTGACGTGAGAGATGTAGAGTATCTCCCCTCAGTAGTGTCGTGAGAGATGTAGAGTATCTCCCCTCAGTAGTGTCGTGAGAGGTGTAGAGTGTCTCCCCTCAGTAGTGTCGTGAGAGATGTAGAGTGTCTCCCCTCAGTAGTGTCGTGAGAGATGTAGAGTATCTCCCCTCAGTAGTGTCGTGAGAGGTGTAGAGTGTCTCCCCTCAGTAGTGTCGTGAGAGATGTAGAGTATCTCCCCTCAGTAGTGTCGTGAGAGATGTAGAGTGTCTCCCCTCAGTAGTGTCGTGAGAGATGTAGAGTGTCTCCCCTCAGTAGTGTCGTGAGAGATGTAGAGTATCTCCCCTCAGTAGTGTCGTGAGAGATGTAGAGTATCTCCCCTCAGTAGTGTCGTGAGAGGTGTAGAGTGTCTCCCCTCAGTAGTGTCGTGAGAGGTGTAGAGTATCTCTCCTCAGTAGTGTCGTGAGAGGTGTAGAGTATCTCCCCTCAGTAGTGTCGTGAGAGATGTAGAGTATCTCCCCTCAGTAGTGTCGTGAGAGATGTAGAGTATCTCCCCTCAGTAGTGTCGTGAGAGGTGTAGAGTGTCTCCCCTCAGAAGTGTCGTGAGAGGTGTAGAGTATCTCCCCTCAGTAGTGTCGTGAGAGATGTAGAGTATCTCCCCTCAGTAGTGTCGTGAGAGATGTAGAGTATCTCCCCTCAGTAGTGTCGTGAGAGATGTAGAGTATCTCCCCTCAGTAGTGTCGTGAGAGGTGTAGAGTATCTCCCCTCAGTAGTGTCGTGAGAGATGTAGAGTATCTCCCCTCAGTAGTGTCGTGAGAGATGTAGAGTATCTCCCCTCAGTAGTGTCGTGAGAGATGTAGAGTATCTCCCCTCAGTAGTGTCGTGAGAGGTGTAGAGTGTCTCCCCTCAGTAGTGTCGTGAGAGGTGTAGAGTGTCTCCCCTCAGAAGTGTCGTGAGAGGTGTAGAGTGTCTCCCCTCAGTAGTGTCGTGAGAGGTGTAGAGTATTTCCCCTCAGTAGTGTCGTGAGAGGTGTAGAGTATCTCCCCTCAGTAGTGTCGTGAGAGATGTAGAGTATCTTCCCTCAGTAGTGTCGTGAGAGGCGTAGAGTATCTCCCCTCAGTAGTGTCGTGAGAGATGTAGAGTATCTTCCCTCAGTAGTGTCGTGAGAGATGTAGAGTATCTTCCCTCAGTAGTGTCGTGAGAGATGTAGAGTATCTCCCCTCAGTAGTGTCGTGAGAGGTGTAGAGTATCTCCCCTCAGTAGTGTCGTGAGAGATGTAGAGTATCTTCCCTCAGTAGTGTCGTGAGAGGTGTAGAGTGTCTCCCCTCAGTAGTGTCGTGAGAGATGTAGAGTATCTCCCCTCAGTAGTGTCGTGAGAGATGTAGAGTATCTCCCCTCAGTAGTGTCGTGAGAGATGTAGAGTATCTTCCCTCAGTAGTGTCGTGAGAGATGTAGAGTATCTTCCCTCAGTAGTGTCGTGAGAGATGTAGAGTATCTCCCCTCAGTAGTGTCGTGAGAGGTGTAGAGTATCTCCCCTCAGTAGTGTCGTGAGAGATGTAGAGTATCTTCCCTCAGTAGTGTCGTGAGAGATGTAGAGTATCTCCCCTCAGTAGTGTCGTGAGAGATGTAGAGTATCTTCCCTCAGTAGTGTCGTGAGAGGCGTAGAGTATCTCCCCTCAGTAGTGTCGTGAGAGATGTAGAGTATCTTCCCTCAGTAGTGTCGTGAGAGGCGTAGAGTATCTCCCCTCAGTAGTGTCGTGAGAGATGTAGAGTATCTCCCCTCAGTAGTGTCGTGAGAGGTGTAGAGTGTCTCCCCTCAGTAGTGTCGTGAGAGGTGTAGAGTGTCTCCCCTCAGTAGTGTCGTGAGAGATGTAGAGTGTCTCCTCTCAGTAGTGTCGTGAGAGGTGTAGAGTGTCTCCCCTCAGTAGTGACGTGAGAGATGTAGAGTATCTCCCCTCAGTAGTGTCGTGAGAGATGTAGAGTATCTCCCCTCAGTAGTGTCGTGAGAGGTGTAGAGTATCTCCCCTCAGTAGTGACGTGAGAGATGTAGAGTATCTCCCCTCAGTAGTGTCGTGAGAGATGTAGAGTGTCTCCCCTCAGTAGTGTCGTGAGAGATGTAGAGTATCTCCCCTCAGTAGTGTCGTGAGAGGTGTAGAGTGTCTCCCCTCAGTAGTGTCGTGAGAGATGTAGAGTATCTCCCCTCAGTAGTGTCGTGAGAGGTGTAGAGTGTCTCCCCTCAGTAGTGTCGTGAGAGATGTAGAGTGTCTCCCCTCAGTAGTGTCGTGAGAGGTGTAGAGTGTCTCCCCTCAGTAGTGTCGTGAGAGGTGTAGAGTGTCTCCCCTCAGTAGTGTCGTGAGAGGTGTAGAGTGTCTCCCCTCAGTAGTGTCGTGAGAGGTGTAGAGTGTCTCCCCTCAGTAGTGTCGTGAGAGATGTAGAGTGTCTCCCCTCAGTAGTGTCGTGAGAGATGTAGAGTGTCTCCCCTCAGTAGTGTCGTGAGAGGTGTAGAGTATCTCCCCTCAGTAGTGACGTGAGAGATGTAGAGTATCTCCCCTCAGTAGTGTCGTGAGAGATGTAGAGTATCTCCCCTCAGTAGTGTCGTGAGAGGTGTAGAGTATCTCCCCTCAGTAGTGACGTGAGAGATGTAGAGTATCTCCCCTCAGTAGTGTCGTGAGAGATGTAGAGTATCTCCCCTCAGTAGTGTCGTGAGAGGTGTAGAGTGTCTCCCCTCAGTAGTGTCGTGAGAGATGTAGAGTGTCTCCCCTCAGTAGTGTCGTGAGAGATGTAGAGTATCTCCCCTCAGTAGTGTCGTGAGAGGTGTAGAGTGTCTCCCCTCAGTAGTGTCGTGAGAGATGTAGAGTATCTCCCCTCAGTAGTGTCGTGAGAGATGTAGAGTGTCTCCCCTCAGTAGTGTCGTGAGAGATGTAGAGTGTCTCCCCTCAGTAGTGTCGTGAGAGATGTAGAGTATCTCCCCTCAGTAGTGTCGTGAGAGGTGTAGAGTGTCTCCCCTCAGTAGTGTCGTGAGAGATGTAGAGTATCTCCCCTCAGTAGTGTCGTGAGAGATGTAGAGTATCTCCCCTCAGTAGTGTCGTGAGAGATGTTGTGTAGAGTATCTCCCCTCAGTAGTGTCGTGAGAGATGTTGTGTAGAGTATCTCCCCTCAGTAGTGTCGTGAGAGGTGTAGAGTATCTCCCCTCAGTAGTGTCGTGAGAGATGTAGAGTATCTCCCCTCAGTAGTGTCGTGAGAGGTGTAGAGTGTCTCCCCTCAGTAGTGTCGTGAGAGATGTAGAGTATCTCCCCTCAGTAGTGTCGTGAGAGATGTAGAGTGTCTCCCCTCAGTAGTGTCGTGAGAGGTGTAGAGTGTCTCCCCTCAGTAGTGTCGTGAGAGATGTAGAGTATCTCCCCTCAGTAGTGTCGTGAGAGGTTTAGAGTGTCTCCCCTCAGTAGTGTCGTGAGAGATGTAGAGTATCTCCCCTCAGTAGTGTCGTGAGAGGTGTAGAGTGTCTCCCCTCAGTAGTGTCGTGAGAGATGTAGAGTATCTCCCCTCAGTAGTGTCGTGAGAGGTGTAGAGTGTCTCCCCTCAGTAGTGTCGTGAGAGGTGTAGAGTGTCTCCCCTCAGTAGTGTCGTGAGAGATGTTGTGTAGAGTATCTCCCCTCAGTAGTGTCGTGAGAGGTGTAGAGTATCTCCCCTCAGTAGTGTCGTGAGAGATGTAGAGTATCTCCCCTCAGTAGTGTCGTGAGAGATGTTGTGTAGAGTATCTCCCCTCAGTAGTGTCGTGAGAGGTGTAGAGTATCTCCCCTCAGTAGTGTCGTGAGAGGTGTAGAGTATCTCCCCTCAGTAGTGTCGTGAGAGATGTAGAGTGTCTCCCCTCAGTAGTGTCGTGAGAGGTGTAGAGTGTCTCCCCTCAGTAGTGTCGTGAGAGATGTTGTGTAGAGTATCTCCCCTCAGTAGTGTCGTGAGAGGTGTAGAGTATCTCCCCTCAGTAGTGTCGTGTCCACAGGCGCGGAGGTTTGCCAGTGTGCGAGTGATGACGCAGGCGCTCGAGGACGAGGGAACGCTGGCTTGGGTCTCGGACTCCAGTAAACTCTTCATTCGAGTATCCGGAGGCTGGAGAGAGGTTCTGCTGGGCGCTGTGATCCACACACTCGAGTCTCCGGCCCTCTCACAGGACGATGTAGGAAACACTGCTTTCAGCCCATTACACACATTACACTCATTACACACATTACACACATTACACACTTGTTATTGGGCAGGAAAACATTTTTTAATGTGGAAAAAGTGACTGTTTTAAATCTGAATGCAAATAGAGAGTGTGTGTGTGTGTGTGTGTCTCAGCCGACTGAGCTTGTATCTGTTAAACCCTTCAGGCTGAACCTCTGATGCTGAGGCCTCAACTCAACACACCTGAGATACACACGGGACAAGCAGTAAGTTTGTGTGTTTGTGTGTGTGTGAGCGAGAGAGTGTGTGTGTGTGTGTGTGTGTGTGTGTGTGTGTGTGTGTGTGTCTCTACATGCGTGTTCAATGGTTTGGCTTCCTACTGGAAACTTCTCCACAGCAGAATAACCTCAAAATAAAGTGAGTCTCATATATCCTACAATAGTGTATCTCTGGCTCTCCCACAACACACTGAACGCTCTCTCACCCGTACACACATTCCCAGGCTGTCCTACACAGAGACTAATGTCATATTTCAGATTTGTCATGGTTTGGTTATGAAAAGCACCTCAAAAGCCTCAAAGTGATCAGGCCTCATCATTGAGTCTGTGGTGTCCAGCTCCCGTTTTAGACTAAATGATGGTTCTTCATCCACTGTTGTGGAAGATCATCCAGCCAGTCTGTCTTCATGAGGAGATGCTCTCCAACACGCCTCTGCTTTCTCTCTCTGCCTGTGTGTGTGTGTGTGAAGTGGCTGTATTCTTCACTTTTGGACCATTTTTGTGGCTTATAATCAGGGTTTGAAATGAACACTCGCCAAATGCGGGTAAAAATCAACAGTGGCGGGAAACGCTTTTAAATCACTGGCCAATTTGCATGTTATAATTATATTTACTCACTTTGCTGGGGAAGTCCGTGTAGCCAATCTGCCAAATCAAAAATACTCCACTCGTGAGTCATCATGATATATTAAAGGAGAACTCCGGCGCAAAATGAACCTTTGGTCTAATTACACATTGTTACCTAGTCAACCGTTATCTGAGATTTGTTTTCATGATTATCGAATGTAAATAGTTTTATCTCTAAAAACAGTTTAGCCTATAAAGCTAGTATAACGCTAGTATATTGGGCATAGTGTAATGACAAATAAAAATCGCTTGTTAATACCACTAACAAGGCTGAAAATAGCCCCACACTAACACGGTAGCATAATGAGGGTCCCTACCTTCAAACCGAAGCATTGAGAACGTTGTCAGTGTCCAGACAGTTTAATAAGAAGATATTTTAAACATACAGTCAACTTCGCGAATACAGGCACAAGCCATCTTTGAAATACAGCCTTTACCAGTCGATCTACGAACGCCGATCCAAGCCTGCTGTTCGCGCTCACCTTATCACAACTTATAGCTCGTTCACATCTCACCAGCGCTTGGATCGGCGTTCGTAGATCGACTGGTAAAGGCTGTATTTCAAAGATGGCTCCTGCCTGTATTCGCGAAGTTGACTGTATGTTTAAAATATCTTCTTATTAAACTGTCTGGACACTGACAACGTTCTCAATGCTTCGGTTTGAAGGTAGGGACCCTCATTATGCTACCGTGTTAGTGTGGGGCTATTTTCAGCCTTGTTAGTGGTATTAACAAGCGATTTTTATTTGTCATTACACTATGCCCAATATACTAGCATTATACTAGCTTTATAGGCTAAACTGTTTTTAGAGATAAAACTATTTACATTCGATAATCATGAAAACAAATCTCAGATAACGGTTGACTAGGTAACAATGTGTAATTAGACCAAAGGTTCATTTTGCGCCGGAGTTCTCCTTTAAATACAGCGTATTGCACAGAATCTGCTCATATCTGGCTTGAACACACACGGCACTACACGACTAATAACGGCACGCTTGTTCATTTGCGTTTAAGCAATAGCGGAGATTAAAAAGCTTTTGGTAAACAGAAAACACACTGTTATTTTCCAACATCTGACATGTTTCTGATGTTCTGTGTCCTGTATTGATCTGTCCTCCTAAAACACATTTATGGGGATGAGGATGAAAGAGGAAGAGAGATGATGGACGACAGGATTTTGTTTGAATAAGAAATGAATGTATGAAATCCAAATTTGACAATATATACTGTATATAAGCTGTGACGTAATTAATCTGGTTAATGTCTTTCTTTCTTTTCTTTTTTTTTTTTTTGGCTAGTAGAAGTTCTGAATGACTGGTAACTTAAAAGATTTTGTAGCCAAATTGGCCGCTGAGTGAAAAAGTGAATTTCAAACCCTGGTTGCAATGTAAAGGTTGTCGCATTTACCATCGTTCAGCAATGGTTTTTGGGCAAAATCTAGTCATTTCAATAATCCGTTCAATAATCCTCATTTCACATGAGGGCGAACGGTTTCTACACGCTGGTAACTGCAACTTTATATCTCGTAATTTTGAGAAAAAATGGTCTTGAAGAGAAAACAAAAGAATTGTGAGTTATAAAATCTGAACTGTGCAAAATAAAGCCAGAATTACAAGATATAAGTCACAACTACCTTTTTTAATTGTGAGTTTATATTTCACAAAAATAGTCAGAATTGCAAGTTTATATCTTGTTTCTCAGCATTGGCAGTTTTATTGTGTGTGTCGTGACGTGTGTGCTTCTCCATGCTCTCAGCTGAGGCTGGTGGCTCTCAACACACCACTGACGGGGAATCTGGGCTCCGTCCACTCAGTGAACCAGCTCTGCAGAACTCAAGCTCAAGCCATGGGAATCAGAGACCATTACAAGGCCTTCCTCTCACACCACCTACAGGACCTGATTGACACTGTGCAGCCCATGTTCCGAACTCACACGCCAGTCGTCAACCTGAGGGTAAATGTCTTAGGTTTCACTCACTCATGCTTCTTTGTAAAGGAATCTCACCTGTTTCTGCTTAGAATAAGTTTATTTTATTTCAGTTAACGCTTATTTTATTTAAAGCAACACGTTTTTAGGGATTAGTTCACTTCAGAATTAAAATTTCCTGATAATTTACTCTCCCCACGTCACCCAAGATGTTCATGTTTTTCTTTCTTCAGTCAACAAGAAATTAAGGTTTTTGAGGGAAACATTCCAGGATTGCTCTCCATATAGTGACTTCAATGGGGTCCAACGGGTCGAAGGTCCAGATGTCAGTTTCAGTGCAGCTTCAAAGTCTCGACACGATTTTGTGGTTAAAGAGTATATAAATGTTTATTTTTGTAAAATGTCCGCTGGTTTGTCTAGATAAGACTCTTATTCCTCGGCTGGATCGTGTCGAGACTTTGAAGCTGCACTGAAACTCACATCTGGACCTTCGACCCGTTGGACCCCATTGAAGTCACTATATGGAGAACAATCCTGGAATGTTTTCCTCAAAAACCTTCATTTCTTTTCGACTGAAGAAAGAAAGACACGAACATCTTGGATGACGTGGGGAGAGTAAATTATCAGGAAATTTTAAGTTTCAGTTGACTTTAATAACCCTGGAACTGTCCCCCCTAAGTGTTTAAATCCATATACTTCAGTGTTCACACGTTAGATTTTACGGGACAGTTTTAAATCCCTCTGTGATGTGTGTGTGTAGGGTGAGGTCCTGTTCAAGGACTGGGAGTCGATCTTCTCCAACCATCTCCTGCCTCCCGGGATCCCGCTGTATTCCTTCGACGGGCGTGATGTGATGAGTGACCCCTTCTGGTCAGTACACATATTCAGATCAAGTGTTAAACGCTCACAGCTTACGCAGCTTTGAAGATTATCCTCAAGTGAGCAGAGAGATTCTAACACACTTCAACAACTTCTTGATCCAATCATGTGCTTAAAAGCTTTGTGTTGGTTGGCTGAATGTTATTTTCTCATGCACATTTTAGGCAAGCAATTGCATGAAATGTCTCAGTTAAGTCCTATCATTCTACCTCATTAATTGCCTAAAGGCAGTCGACAAACTCTAGTAATGGTTTAGTGGTAAACAGCTTCGGTTGGAGTCTCTCAAGTATTGCCAAGGCCCGACACACACACACACACACAAACACACACACACGGCCCTCCTCCGCGCACTGACCACAGTCCAGACGACAGCGGCTACACCTCACATTTCTCCACCCGTGCATTTGTATTTTTCCTTCTCTCTTTATGTGTATTTATACTCCAGGCCGGTAAATATAGCCTGCAGTGCGATGCTCCAGATGAGGCAGTGACAGCGCAGCAGCAATTGTGGTTTGCTGGAGCCTTTTTAAAGTTGTTTGTGAAGTGGGACGTTTTTAGGATTTACATGGACTGAGTTTCAGGAAAACTGCTGTATGAATGCATGAAACAGAAGAGACAATTCATTAAGCCTATGTTAGTGGTTCCTCAGTTCTCACGTTAAGAACTCTGTCTGTTTTGACTCATCGTTGAAGTCAGCATGAAATGCATGTACTCAAGCTTATTATTAGGTATGTGACGTATCAGATTTCCATATCATGATAATTGCTGAAGCTTCATCACAATATTGAATTAAGTTAGAAAACTTAAGTCCTGTACTTGCTCTGCTGCAGCAGCAATAACAACAGCAGTATATATAATCAACAGCAGCACCAATAATAATCATTAGCAGTATTAACAGCAACCGCAGCAGCAGTAATAACAGCAGCAACAGCAATAATAACAGCACCAGCATCAGTAATAACAGCAGCAGTAATAACAGCAGCAATAGCAATAATAACAGCACCAGCATCAGTAAAAACAGCAGCAGCAATAATAACAGCAGCATCAACAACAGCAGTAGTAATAAAAGCAGCAACAGCAGCAATAATAACAGCACCAGCATCAGTAATAACACCAGCAATAATAACAGCAGCAGCAGCAGCAATAATAACAGCACCAGCATCAGTAATAACACCAGCAATAATAACAGCAGCAGCAATAATAACAGCACCAGCATCAGTAATAACACCAGCAATATTACAGCAGCAGTACTAACAGCAGCAGCAGTAATAACAGCAGTAGCAGAAATAACAGCAGCAGGAATAACAGCAGCAGCAGCAATAACAGCAGCAGCACCAATAACAGCAGCAGCACCAATAACAGCAGCAGCAGGAATAACAGCAGCAGCAGCAATAACAGCAGCAGCAGTAATAACAGCAGCAGCACCAATAACAGCAGCAGCACCAATAACAGCAGCAGCAGGAATAACAGCAGCAGCAGCAATAACAGCAGCAGCAGCAATAACAGCAGCAGCAGTAATAACAGCAGCAGCACCAATAACAGCAGCAGCAGAAATAACAGCAGCAGCAGCAATAACAGCAGTAGCAGTAATAACAGCAGTAGCAGAAATAACAGCAGCAGGAATAACAGCAGTAGCAGAAATAACAGCAGCAATAACAGCAGCAGCAGTAATAACAGCAGCAGCAGTAATAACAGCAGCAGCAGCAATAACAGCAGCAGCAGCAATAATAACAGCACTAGCATCAGTAATAACAGCAGCAGTAATAGCAGCAGCAGTAATAACAGCAGCAGCAATAATAACAGCAGCAACAGCAATAATAACAGCACCAGCAGCAGTAATAACAGCAGCAGTAATAACAGCAGCAGCAATAATAACAGTAGCATAACAGCAGTAGTAATAAAAGCAGCAGCAGCAGCAATAATAACAGCAGCAGTAATAAAAGCAGCAGCAATAATAACAGCACTAGCATCAGTAATAACACCAGCAATAATAACAGCAGCAGCAGCAATAGTAACAGCACCAGCATCAGTAATAATAACAGCACCAGCATCAGTAATAACACCAGCAATATTACAGCAGCAGTAATAACAGCAGCAGCAATAACAGCAGCAGCAGGAATAACAGCAGCAGCACTAATAACAGCAGCAGCAGCAATAACAGCAGCAGCAGAAGCAGCAATAAAAGCAGCAGCAGAAGCAGCAATAACAGCAGCAGCAGTAATAACAGCAGCAGCAGCAATAACAGCAGCAGCAGCAATAACAGCAGCAGTAATAACAGTATAACCGTTACCCCTTTTGGGCTTAAGTTATATATCAGAGTAGGAATGGAAGGACTTAATATTGGCTTAGGTATAGATGAAAAAAACTAGTTTACTTTGGTTTACACAGCTATATTTCGGAAGAATCAGACACAAGCTTTACGCTTATAATGTATTCATCAACCCAAAATCTCAAAGGTTTACATCATACAAAAACAAAACAAAAACCAATAATAAACAAGGTAGAAAACAGTAAAACACCCGGTACACCAATCATCACACAAGAAAAGTTAAGCGTTAAGGGAATCTGCACTGGAAAAGTGAATGATTCACTTTTCTTATGGTGGAGTCGACAAGGCTTGGTAATGGAGGAAATGTCCTTGCAAAAGTCAGTACTGTTAATTTGATAATCCCAAGGTTGTAGATAGAAAAGGTGTCTTCCTGTCTTCCACAAGTGCAATCCAAACCCTCTAGTGCACACATTAAACGTCCAAGCGTCATAATCCAGGCACCAAACCACCCAGCAGAAAGTTAGGTGAAGCAAATACTTTCACCCATACAAGAAAGCACCGGAATAAAAAGGTCCATTGATTGACCAAAAAGGAAACACATTCCTCAATCATAGGACCTTATAAAGTCAAACGGAATAGCCCAAGAAAGCCATTGCTTCCTCTATCCACATGCTTGCCTACTTCTTCAGGTATAGTACCTGGTTAAATACTCATCTATGAAGATGATTAACGCCCCCTAATGGAGTGGAGAAATATAACCGCTAAGGTAACAGAGTTAAAACTGTTACAACAGCACCAGCAGCAATAACAGCAGCAACAGCAATAATAACAGCACCAGCATCAGTAATAACAGCAACAGTAATAACAGCAGCAGCAATAATAACAGGTGCAGTAATAATAACAGCAGCAGCAGCAGCAGCAATAATAACAGCACCAGCATCAGTAATAACACCAACAATAATAACAGCACCAGCATCAGTAATAATAACAGCACCAGCATCAGTAATAACACCAGCAATATTACAGCAGCAGTAATAACAGCAGCAGCAATAGCAGCAGCAGTAATAACAGCAGCAGCAGCAATAACAGCAGCAGCAGAAATAACAGCAGCAGCAGAAATAACAGCAGCAGCAGCAGCAATAACAGCAGCAGCAGAAATAACAGCAGCAGCACTAATAACAGCAGCAGCAGCAATAACAGAAGCAGCAGAAGCAGCAATAACAGCAGCAGCAGCAGAAGCAGCAATAACAGCAGCAGCAGCAGCAATAACAGCAGCAGTAATAACAGCAGCAGTAATAGCAGCAGCAGAAATAACAGCAGCAGTAATAACAGCAGCAGCAGCAATAACAGCAGCAGCAGTAATAACAGCAGCAGCAGAAATAACAGCAGCAGTAGTAATAACAGCAGCAGCAGCAATAACAGCAGCAGTAGCAGCAGAAGCAGCAATAACAGCAGCAGCAGCAATAACAGCAGCAGCAGCAGCAGCAGCAGAAGCAGCAATAACAGCAGCAGCTGCAATAACAGCAGCAGTAATAACAGCAGCAGCAGTAATAGCAGCAGCAGTAATAACAGCAGCAGCAGCAATAACAGCAGCAGCAGCAGAAATAACAGCAGCAGCAGCAATAACAGCAGCAGCAATAACAGCAGCAGTAATAACAGCAGCAGCAGTAATAGCAGCAGCAGAAATAACAGCAACAGCAGAAATAACAGCAGCAGCAGCAATAACATCAGCAGCAGAAATAACAGCAGCAGCAGCAATAACAGCAGCAGCAGCAATAACAGCAGCAGCAGCAATAACAGCAGCAGTAATAACAGCAGCAGCAGTAATAACAGCAGCAGTAATAACAGCAGTAACAGCAGCAGTAATAACAGCAGCAACAGCAGCAGTAATAACAGCAGTAACAGCAGCAGTAATAACAGCAGTAATAACAGCAGCAGTAATAACAGCAGCAGTAATAACAGCAGTAACAGCAGCAGTAATAACAGCAGTAATAACAGCAGTAACAGCAGCAGTAATAACAGCAGCAGTAATAACAGCAGTAATAACAGCAGTAACAGCAGCAGTAATAACAGCAGTAACAGCAGCAGTAATAACAGCAGTAACAGCAGCAGTAATAACAGCAGTAATAACAGCAGTAACAGCAGCAGTAATAACAGCAGTAATAACAGCAGTAACAGCAGCAGTAACAGCAGTAATAACAGCAGTAACAGCAGCAGTAATAACAGCAGTAACAGCAGCAGTAACAGCAGTAATAACAGCAGTAACAGCAGTAATAACAGCAGTAACAGCAGCAGTAATAACAGCAGTAACAGCAGCAGTAACAGCAGTAATAACAGCAGTAATAACAGCAGTAACAGCAGCAGTAATAACAGCAGTAACAGCAGCAGTAATAACAGCAGTAACAGCAGCAGTAATAACAGCAGTAACAGCAGCAGTAATAACAGCAGTAACAGCAGCAGTAATAACAGCAGTAATAACAGCAGTAACAGCAGCAGTAATAACAGCAGTAATAACAGCAGTAACAGCAGCAGTAATAACAGCAGTAATAACAGCAGTAACAGCAGCAGTAACAGCAGTAATAACAGCAGTAACAGCAGCAGTAACAGCAGTAATAACAGCAGTAACAGCAGCAGTAATAACAGCAGCAGTAATAACAGCAGCAGTAACAGCAGTAATAACAGCAGTAATAACAGCAGTAATAACAGCAGTAACAGCAGCAGTAATAACAGCAGCAGTAATAACAGCATTAACAGCAGCAGTAATAACAGCAGTAATAACAGCAGTAACAGCAGCAGTAATAACAGCAGTAATAACAGCAGTAACAGCAGCAGTAATAACAGCAGTAACAGCAGCAGTAATAACAGCAGTAACAGCAGCAGTAATAACAGCAGTAATAACAGCAGTAACAGCAGCAGTAATAACAGCAGTAACAGCAGCAGTAATAACAGCAGTAATAACAGCAGTAACAGCAGCAGTAATAACAGCAGTAACAGCAGCAGTAATAACAGCAGTAATAACAGCAGTAACAGCAGCAGTAATAACAGCAGCAGTAATAACAGCAGTAATAACAGCAGTAATAACAGCAGTAATAACAGCAGTAATAACAGCAGTAACAGCAGCAGTAATAACAGCAGTAATAACAGCAGTAACAGCAGCAGTAATAACAGCAGCAGTAATAACAGCAGCAGTAATAACAGCAGTAATAACAGCAGTAACAGCAGCAGTAATAACAGCAGTAATAACAGCAGTAACAGCAGCAGTAATAACAGCAGTAATAACAGCAGTAACAGCAGCAGTAATAACAGCAGTAATAACAGCAGTAACAGCAGCAGTAATAACAGCAGTAATAACAGCAGTAACAGCAGCAGTAATAACAGCAGTAATAACAGCAGTAACAGCAGCAGTAATAACAGCAGTAATAACAGCAGTAACAGCAGCAGTAATAACAGCAGTAATAACAGCAGTAACAGCAGCAGTAATAACAGCAGTAACAGCAGCAGTAATAACAGCAGTAATAACAGCAGTAATAACAGCAGTAATAACAGCAGTAACAGCAGCAGTAATAACAGCAGTAATAACAGCAGTAATAACAGCAGTAACAGCAGCAGTAATAACAGCAGTAACAGCAGCAGTAATAACAGCAGTAATAACAGCAGTAACAGCAGCAGTAATAACAGCAGTAATAACAGCAGTAACAGCAGCAGTAATAACAGCAGTAACAGCAGCAGTAATAACACCAGTAATAACAGCAGTAACAGCAGCAGTAACAGCAGTAACAGCAGCAGTAATAACAGCAGTAACAGCAGTAACAGCAGTAATAACAGCAGTAATAACAGCAGTAACAGCAGCAGTAATAACAGCAGTAATAACAGCAGTAATAACAGCAGCAGTAATAACAGCAGTAATAACAGCAGTAACAGCAGCAGTAATAACAGCAGTAACAGCAGCAGTAATAACAGCAGCAGCGTAGCAGATCTATTCTGCCAAGACTGAATACATTAACATTGCATATCTATTACCATCCCAAACACCCCAAGAGTTGTCATGACAAAAATATCTTTACTGTCACTTTTGAGCAATTTAATGCTTCCTTACTGAATGAAAGTATTATTATTATTTAAAATAATAATATAAACAGTAGTTCTGCATGTTCCTGAGAGCGTTTTGAGATGTTTGAAGCCATACATGTCTTGAGTTATGCTTGTGTGTGTGTGTGTGTGTGTGTGTGTGTGTGTGTGTGTGTGTGTGTGTGTGTGTGTGTGTTCAGGCCTCAGAAGGCGGTGTGGCACGGCTCTTCAGAGCGAGGAAAGCGACTGGACGCTCTGAACTGTGAGTCCTGGAGAGCTGGAGACATGGCCATCACGGGTCAGGCCTCGTTCCTCTACAGCGGATTACTGAACCAGCAGACCCGAAGCTGCTCCAACCGGTTCATCGTCCTGTGCATCGAGACCAGCCACGAGCACAGGAGAGGACATTACAGATACTGAACCACAGAAGAGGCATTACAGATACTGAGATACTGAAGCCTCTCGCAGCAGAAACTGTGTTAGTGTGGACAGAGACGACATGAACTCCAGCAACACATGAACGTTCAGTCCAACCCAAGCCGCCGTTCTAGAATGTAACGTGTTTATTGGCCAGATCCCAGCGTTGGACCGGGGACATCGGCCCTCTCCATGACATTTTCATGCACTGTACTTTTCAAATTGTATTTTTGGTGTTGAATTTCCAAAAAAAAAAAAAACTTTTTTTATCATGTCATTTATTTGTTTGTTATTCTGTTTGTATTTAATTTAATTTCAGTGTTTTATTTATACGGTGACCGCACATGATTAAAAAATGTCATTGATAAATATGTAATTTAACTGTTGAAATTAATTCTCATTCATTTTTTTTATTGTCATGAAACAGTTTTTGGACCTTGCATGTTTTAACAAGTTCAGATCACAATCAAATCACCTTTTTTATAGATTTTTTAAAAAGCAAATCAAGTGTTTATTGTCTGTTGAATAAAACATTTTTTTCCAAATTTTATGTTTGTGTGTTATTATTATTTATTTTGATATGATGACCTGTGCTGAACTCAGATGTGAAAGTTGTCTATTTATGAGCAAATGTTCTGGATACGTCATCGGTGGGAAAGCTTGAAGCGCTCACAGAAACAGTGTTTATTGGGAAAGTTTGCACCTCCTGAACACGAACACAGACGTCCAGAGGAGCTGGCACGAGTTGGGCTTGTTTTTCAGGGTTTGCACTGACACACACACCAACACACACTTACCAACAGTATGACTGTTTTCCTCCTCACAGTGGAATGTTGTGGGGAAATCATGTAAACAGTCCCTTTAAGAGGTCACAGCTTTAAAGGGGTCAGGAATTTTGTTTTCTTAAAATTGTATAATGCGATCAAGATTTTTTACATCAAAAAACATCCTAATTTAGAAGCAATAAGCTATTTTCTATCCAGTTTTCGACCCTCTCTTAGAAACACTGTTTTGATGGGCGTGTCTCATTCAGGAGTTGGAAGTAAACGCCCACTGCTGTGATTGGGTAACAGTTTTGCATATTAAAATAATGACATGGAGTTACCACAGTTATAGTTTACAAATGATAACTTACTGTGTTTTGTGTAAACAACAGAATCTTGAATGAATGTACGATTGTTTGTCACACTGTCGTTCTTATAGGCTATTCATAGTTCATCCTTTTCGATAAAGTGAAAAACGTATTCATTATCATTTGCAGTGTCATGTTTTAAATAAAATAAAACATGTTGTAATGTCTTACTGATGACGAAACAGATGTCGCTCACTGAAGCACAAATCACTTCACAGTTCCCTTTCGAGGGAACTTGTGCCGTGTCGATGATGAAGTCACATGTGCAACTTAGTCCAATCTTGATTGGTGCAACTTCATCCTGACGCGTGCCGGTGGAATACAGAAGCTATGAAGGAGCCGGCATCACAGCTGATGTCAGACGGCAACCCGGGGGCTTCACTCATGGGGATCCCAGATGGCGCTAGGGGAGGGTGTGAGACGGCTTTGGCCCTTTCTCAGCCCTCAGTACTCACCGCTAGCTCTGGAGGTTTGATGCTGGGCTTATCTTCTTCTGAGGAAGTTGAAGGTGGTGATTTGGGTGGGTTACGTCCCATTATAGATCTTCAACATTATAGAAGTGGAAATGATGGGTTTGGCCCCTGAGAGGGATCAGTTCCTGAACGCCGGTCTCTCTACTGAGGTAGTGGAGACCATCTTAAACTCTAGAGATCCCTCCACGAGGAAACTATATGCGCTGAAGTGGAGCGTGTGGATAGCACCAACTGGACCCAGTTAACTGCCCAGTGGCTTCAGTGTTGGAGTCTCTGCAGGGTCGTCTCCCGGCCGGCCTTTCCCCTTCTACACATACACTAACACCGTGTCCTGACTACACGCGACGCGACGCCGCGACACGTGATAAAAGGTATCTTTTCCATGTTAATCAGAGTTTTTGTCCTAACGAGACGCGACGGCGACACGCGAAGTTTCTAATTTAGAAACGGTTCCTATTTCTGCGACGTCGCGGCTGACAGATCCGCCCACACAGAGAACAAGATCGAATAAACTGATTGTCATATGAAGAAATTACACTGGTTATGAGTACACATTATTTATTTTTAGTTAAAAATAGGTCACTGTGCCACAAGCGATAATGGATAATTTACCTCAGATTTTGAAAGCATATAATACAGCGTTCAAACCGAATTCTATGCAAACAACTGTACTTCATAACAAAATTAGTCGAGTATATTTTGTTAATGTTTTGATTTTTAATAATGTTATTTCTTGATTTGATTATGTCCTTACCCATTTCCAATGCGAGTGCGGGGCAGCGGTGCGCTTTCACAGAGAGACTCCGCCCACACGCTGTTCTGAATGGCTGTGATTTTTGATTGACGTGTGGCGTCTCACAGTCGCGTCTAGTGTGGACAGACACACTTGCTGTCGCTGGAATCTTATCGCGTCGCATGTAGTTAGGACACGGTGTAAGTGTGTGTGGCAGCAGTGGCTGCTTTCCATGTCCCCCTGGATGGCAGCTCACTGGGAAGGCATCATCTTAGTACACGTTTCCTTCATGGTACTCTGAGGATGAGGCCTCCGGCTCAGGTTAGAATGCCCACATGGGATCTAGCCGTAGTATTAAACGCATTATCCTTGGCACCCTTCGAGCCTCTGGACTCGGCATCAGACAAGCCTAGTCTTAAAGATGGCATTTTTGCTGGCTATGTTATGTCTCAAGAGAATAGGAGATTTACAGGCCTTGTCGATTGCTCCCTCCTGTCTAGAATACACTCCAGGGGGGAGTAAAAGATATTATTTACCCAAGACCTGGGTATGTACCTAAGGTTTCCACTAATGTGGCCTGGCCAGTGGTCCTTCAGGCCTTCCACCCTCCCCAAGTGTTGGCGGAACAAGAGCTCAGGTTGCTTTGCCCGGTCAGGAAGACATCTCAGTGGAGAAAGTCTGACCAGGTTTGGTATGCTTCGGGCCCCCTAAGAAGGGCTGCCCGGCTACTAAACAGACTGTAAGTAGGTGGATTGTTGAGGCTATCTCTATGGCTTATGAGGTGCGCGGGCTGCCCTCACCTCTGCCAATTAGAGCCCAGTCCACCCGAAGCATGGCATCTTGAAAGGCACTGTGGTCGCGGGCATCACTCCAAGATATATGTGATGTGGCAGGATGGTCCTCGCCACACACCTTCTGGCGACCCCGGGGTCACAGGCACTCGTGTCCTGAGCTGTGCCTCATTTAACACCGGGACAGACTTTTCGTCAGCATGGCGAAGTGGGCATATCGTTCCCCAAAGTGTCGTCATCGCAGCGCGAGTTCCTTCGAAAGGGAACGTCTCAGTTTACCCATGTAACCGTGGTTCCCTGAGAAGGGAACGAGACGCTGCGTCGCTTTGCCATGCTTCCTGCACACCTGAGAGCGGCAATCCGCCGGCTCGCGTCACGGGATGATGACGTTGCACCAATCAAGATTGGACTAAGTTGCACATGTGACTTCAGGGGCGCTGCCGCTGGAGGGATTCCCCAAAGTGTCGTCATCGATGCAGCGTCTCGTTCCCTTCTCAGGGAACCACGGTTACATGGGTAACCTGGGACGTTTGACGCGATCTGTATCAGACAAAGCAATCGTGACACATGGTAAAAACACTGTTACTCACACTCGAGTGTTGTGTAATCCTCAGAGCGTCTCTATGGTTTTGTTGCTGTAATCCTGTGTTTGCGTCTCATGGCGTGTGTGTATCGGTGGGAGGGGCTAAAGATGTGATGATGTAGAAGTGGGCGTCGATCTGATTCCGCAGAGGCTGAGGCTTTCATCACACTATTACTTCATAATCTGACAAAATCCGAAACGAGTGGTTTTCTGAGCTTGGCTTCAATAAAAGCTGTTTTTGGACTAATGAGGAAGAGGGAAACTTGCATATGTCAAAAAATCAAGGAAAATGTTATTTCTCAATTCATGACCCCTTTAAATATGAATTCATTGCGCATATCAGGCTTCACTTTGTTGATGGTCATCAAGCATCTTTTTAGGTTTTTAATTTGAAATGTAAATTTCTTGTTATTTATTGGACCAAAACGACATCCTTAGAAAGTTAAACTTGGTCACTGTATTTTATTTTATTATTTTATTTTACCCCAAAAACAATTGTTACATTTATAAGACATGACTTACATTACAGTGCCAGTCAAACTTTATTCAGTCAATCCAGCACTCTATCTAGTGCTCTCATAATTTACCACTGTAATTTTTTTTATTTATTTGCCAAAATGCCAGTTCTTGTTACTTTAAATAGTAATAGCAGAATTTGAAGACACTATGGTGAATCATGTGTGTGTGTGTGTGTGTGTGTGTGTGTGTGTGTGAGAGTGTGTGTGTGTGTGTGTGTGTGTGTGTGTGTGTGTGTGTGTGTGTGTGTGTGTGTGTGTGTGTGTGTGTGTGTGTGTGTGTGTGTGTGTGTGTGAGAGTGTGTGTGTGTGTGTGTGTGTGTGTGTGAGAGAGTGTGTGTGTGTGTGTGTGTGTGTGTGTGTGTGTGTGTGTGTGTGTGTGTGTGAGAGAGAGAGTGTGTGTGTGTGTGTGTGTGTGTGTGTGTGTGTGTTCTTGTTTTTATTACATTGTGAGGACCAAATGTCCCCACAAGAATAGTAAAACGTGAAATCACCAACATTGTGAGGACTAGCCAATGGTCCCCACAAGGGAAATTGATTAATGAACATACTTGATGTTTTATAGAAAATGTAAAAGAGCAGAAAGTTTTCTGTGATGGGTAGGTTTAGGGGTAGGGGTAGGGGTAGGGTTAGTGTGTGTGTGTGTGTGTGTGTGTGTGTGTGTGTGTGTGTGTGTGTGTGTGTGTGTGTGTGTGTGTGTGTGTGTGTGTGTGTGTGTGTGTGTGTGTGTGTGTGTGTGTGTGTGATGGGTAGGTTTAGGGGTAGGGTTAGTGTAAGAGGAGAGAATATACAGTTTGTACAGTATAAAAACCATTACGTCTATGGAGAGTCCCCACAAAGATAATGGACCAGACGTGTGTGTGTGTGTGTGTGTGTGTGTGTGTGTGTGTGTGTGTGTGTGTGTGTGAGTGAGTATGGCCTGCACTCTGTGATCAGTGAGTTCTGCTCATTAGGGTGATAAAGGTGTCAGATAACCATAATATGTGGTTCTGGTGGATAAATATAGCAGTGGTTTGATATGGTGGACCTGCTGTAAGTGTGTGTGTGAACCACACTGGAGAATTACTGCCACTTCCTGATGCTCTTCCGTCTCTCAAGCTGCGTCTTGCGCTCGGCCACAACAAAGACTGACGTTTCAGTTGTGAGTATTAATTACAGAACAACACAAGATGGAGCGGAAGTTCCTGCACTGAAGTTATAAAGTAGCTCATTAAATACCACTTATTTGCCTTCACGACAGAAAAAGTCATTACGGTCTCCAATTTTAGTTTAGCTTGGAACACCTACTGTAATTATCTCAAGATATATCGCTTATGTCTGG